ATCCCGCCGGGAGGTGGTACGACCGGCGAGACCAGAGAGGGGGCGTGGCAGCGCACCGGCGTGACGTCACGCGCCGTGGGGGCGGGCTTTCTGCGTGGAGCTCTACCGTCATTGGCCCGGACCCTCGCAGTAACCAGGGGAACTGCAAACAGTGTGGGGGCCGCTTCCGGTTCGAGCACCCGGAACCGCCGCCTCTAGGGATGGATGGTGAGTGTCCGTGGGCCCCTCCTGGAGGTCGGGCAGTTGTTCTCCCATCACTCCTGGGCCTTTCCGGAGCAGAATCCTAGGCCACAGACCCCTGGGCCACCACTTCCTGACCCAGGTGATCTTCAGCCTGAGAGAAAGGGAGACTTGGTGGTCCGGAATGGGGAGGAGAAGCTGAGGGAGTGGTCAGTGGTCTGGCCATGATGCCGAGCTGTGGTCGTGGAGGAACCCGGTAGTGGCCGGGTGCTTAGTGAAGGGGTTTAAGATGGGGGTGGATGGGTAGAGGTCTGAGGGGGATCTTATGTTCCTGGAATATGGAACTGTGGGATATGGGAGTTGATGCGGAGGTAAACTTGATCGTAGGGCGTGCCGTCCTCAGTTGCTGGGAAGGGTGTTGGTATGGGGGATGGAGGGAGACTGGGGAATACCCCCTTTCTGTGCTTTGGCGTCAATAATAATAGCCCACGTCAACAGAGTTCTATTCATTGCCAGGAACTCTGTAAGTACTGTCAGGTAACACCTCGCTAAGCTTCACAGCAGCCCTTTGAGGCCAATGTTATCCCATTTTACAGACTAGGAAACTGAGGTTCAGAGAAAGTAAGCTAAAACATTTTAGGCCGGACCCGGTGGCTCACGCCTGTAATCTCAGCACTTTGGGAGGCCGAGGCAGGAGGATTGCTTGAGCCCAAAATTTTGTGACCATCCTAGGCAGTATAGTGAGCTCTCCTTTCTACCAGAAAATCAAAAAATTAGCCGGGCATGCTGGCACGCACCTGTGGTCCCAGCTACTCTGGAGGCTGAGGCAGAAGGATCACTTGAATCCAGAAG